GGAGTTCTCTTTCTCTTCCTCCTCCTGAGTAAGAAAGGGGCTTGCGGACACTTCTCTGGGTTGAGCAAAGGGTTACTCTGTGCAGTCAACATGGTCCAATATACACAGAGGATGCAGGAGTGAGCAAGCAGGATGTACCCGTAAAAGCACAGAGCACAATTTAAGAAATACAAATGCCTGGATGCAGAGCAAACACTTAAGTTACTAAACATAATCACTCCTTATCTCTAAGTACCCAAACAACTTTGATTTGAATACATATTGGTATATAAAAACTTATTGTCATAAGACCCTAAGAATTGCCTTAGTCTTCTTAACAACGAAGTAACAACAAATTTCCAGTACACAGTACCCAGGCAAAGACCAAAGCCGCTAACTCATGACTCAGTGCCTCCCTAGCAGTGTCATGTTCTTAAAAGTTTGTGATGATGCTCCTTACTTTCCATTATTCCTTTAAAAAAACATTGTGACATGACCTGGGAAACGCAGCCTTCATCATATCAACTCCCTCCTCTGAAGAATGGGATCAAGGATAATTCATGTCCCACTTGCCTTGTAAGGCATAGCGAGGATCATATTCTGTGAAAAGGTTTTGTGACCAGAAAGTACCACGCAAATGTTAGTTACAGTTGAGCTCCTGGTTAGGTTGTACTTCTCTCTTCCAGACAGGAGGGCCCAATCAGGGAACTGACATTGATTGCAGGTCTTCTATATGCTATGTTATCCGGATACCATCTTACATGGTGGATGGTCAGTTCCCATTTTACATATGAGGCTCATGGAGGTTAATAACATACTTAACGTAAGTCACCTACTAAGGGGTAGGGCCAGGATTTGAACGCTGGTCTTCGGCTCAAAAACCCAGATATTCTTAGCACTAGCTTCATACCTACTTTGTTACTTAAAAAAGAAGAATGAACATAGCATTTGGTTTTTACATAACCATGAAGGTTCTCATCACCACCCTCATCCTTAAGCTTCATTTGTTCCAAGGTATCACATAGAATGTGAGAAACCTTCCCAAGGGGAAAGCTGGAGGATGAAACGCTCACTGAGGATTAGAGCCCAAGAAATAAGACAAAGGCAGAGACAGTCAGTTTTAAGAAAAGTAAAATATTAAAACCTCAGTTGCCCTGTCTGCCAAAGACTGCATCCCACAGCCCCCATCGGGCTCACGCAAGCCCCAGTGACTGTCGACTGTGATGCAGTGATTCCGAGAGCACCTGGATTTTTTTTAGCCCCACCCGAAATCACTAATAGGAAGCAAACGTTACCAATTACGGGTTAAAACCACCCCCGTCTGGCCATAGGGACAGCAGAGGGGCACACTGCCATTTTTCCTGTGTGTGGTGGAGGCACTAAGCAGGATGAAAAAACGACCATGAACAAAGAGGTGAGAGAGACCCGGGTGTGAATTCCGACTCCATCACTCACTCCCTGGTCACCCTGGGCCAGTCCTTAACTTACTCATCGGTAACACCTCTTCATCCTGAAGCACTTACCTCTGGAATGAATGCGATGACGCAGGTAACAGCAGCAGGTGCCTGAGAACACAGTAGGCACTCAAGAGGGAGCGGCTTCTCTGTGATAATGATGACTCATGAACTGGTTTATGTCCACTAGTAAGGAAGTGCTTGTTTTTTTCAAACAGATACTCTCTCTGGTAGACTAAAGATGACTACAAATTCTTACTACTCTTCCTTTGAGAGGCGGAGCCCAATCCCTCTCCCCTTGACTCAGGGTGGGTCTTAGTGACTTCCTTGGCCAATACAGTGTGGCTGAAGTATTGTCCTGGGACTTCCAAGCCTAATTCATAAGAAGCCTTGTAGGTTTTGCCCCGGCCTCACAGCTGTGGGCTGACATTTAAGAAGTCTGACTACCCTGAGGCCACTACTCTGGGAGGAAGCCCCACTTTGCCCTGTGAAACAGCCTCAGGGAAAACAAGGTGTTGGGCCAGGCCCAGTTGTTCTAGCCTACAGCTGCTGGAGTTACTCCAGCCCAGATCCTAGACACTGGAGCAGACAGTCTCTGCCAGCCCCTGCCCAAACCAAACTGCAGATTCATATGCAAAATAAGTGATTTTTGTTGCTTTAAGCTACAGTTTTGTGGTGGTTTGTTACACAACAAAAGATAACCAGAACACTCTATCAGGTTTTTTCCCTCAAGTTAAAAACAGCAGTTTGCTGTTACATAAAGTAACACACTGACACAGTCTTCGTGGGAGCTGCCGTGGTTTCCTGCTTCAACAGTGCTTGAACGGAACCGGAACCAGGCGCTCGCTCCCGGCCCCGGCCTGCCACCCAGAGCCAGCCCTCCGCCACCTCCTCACGGAGCCCTCGGCCCACTGCAAGGCCGCTGCCACCTCTCGTCAGCCGCCCACCATGACCACCGTGTTCCCCTTGCAGCTGCGCCAGAACGACTACCAGGACTCGGAGGCCGCCATCAACCGCCAGATCAACCCGGAGCTCCACGCCTCCTCCGTCTACCTGTGCATGCCTTACTATTTTGATCGCGATGATGTGGCTTTGAAGAACTTTGCCAAATATTTTCTTCACCAACCTTATGAGGAGAGGGAACGAACATGCTGAGAAACTGATGAAGCTGCAGAACCAACCAGGCGGCCGAATGTTCCTTCAGGATATCAAGAAACCAGACCGGGATGACTGGGAGAATGGGCTGAAGGCAATGGAGTGTGCATTACACTTGGAAATAAATGTGAATGAGTCACTACCGGAACTGCACAAACTGGCCACTGACAAAAACGACCCCCACTTGTGTGACTTCCTCAAGACTCACTACCTGAATGAGCAGGTAAAAGCCATCACAGAATTGGGTGACCATGTAATCAACCTGCGCAGGATGGGGGCCCCTGAATCTGGCACGGCAGAGTATCTCTTTGACAAGCACACCCTGGGAGACAGTGACGAGAGCTGAGTCTCAGGCCAGCTTCCCCTAGCCAACGGATGACTTCCCTGATCCACCGAGGCAGTGCACGCATGTTGGGGTTACCTTTACCTTTTCTATAAGTTGTACAAAAATACCTAAGTTCTTGGATTTGTACCATTCCTTCAAATAAAGTGATTTAGTACCCCATCCCCTAAAAGTAACATATTAAGTTTATTTGACTCTGTACTTCCCAAGTCTATTTTAGACACTAAAAAAGCCATTTTGTTTGTGGACAATGTTCATCCAGGCATAACTTAATAATAGGCTAATGACATATATGAGCTATCAGGGGTGTGTGTGTGTATGCACGCCAGAGTTTAAGTTATCTAGAATTTTACTAAATATCCAATTCTTCTCATGAAAAAAAACCGCTATAAATAACAGCTCTTCACCCCAGTGAACTTGAATCTAGTGCCCAAGAGCTCCACCCTCCCAGCTCTGTACAAAGCTGGGCTCCTGTACACAACCAGCTATCTAGTAAACAGGGTGGTTTACGGAGGGCCATTACCTACCTCCTGACCAGCAGGAAACCAACTCTGGGCTGCTTGCATTTCTAGGCAAGCTTGGAAACAATGACAGTGTTAAGACTAAGTTGATTTTCCAGGCTATCCAGATAACGTTTGAGGAAATCCCCTTGAGCTTTCACGTATGCTCCACTTGGGAGGATGGGCCTTGTTACAGCATAAAACTTGACTCTGAACCATAAAATACTGATTTGATGCCTTTCACATATATAACCTTATAATATTATGCAAACTTTGGGGCATGCAAGCAGCATAGGTGACCTCAACAAAGATTTTGCTGCCTCCCAGATCTACTCTGCTCTTATTCATTTCCTGTTTCTTCTCCCACAAAGCCAGCCTCGCCTTCTTGAGGGGGCGTCTGTGTGTGCAATCCTATTTATCCTTCAAATGTCCTCTCTACCATCAAGGCAGGGCTAATCATGCCTTGATGACATTGCTTCTTCAATCTGTAAAGCCTTTTCTCTCACCAGCAAGCTTAACATTAAAAAAAATAAAAAGGCCACAAACCTACAGTCCAATAGAATACATGAAGAAAGAACATGAAAGTCCCTCTAACTCTTGGCGACATTCCACCAGGCTGAAAACAGATCTGTGTTTCAGGGATTAGAATTCAGTAGCAGAAATGAGTCAATTAAAATCCAACCAGAATGCTGTCTGTAGATAAAGTGCTTTGCACTGGGGGTGCAACGGTAACCTGAATTGCTCAATTCTAAGGGCCGACTGACTGGTGATTTGCATCTCAATCTCTTTTCCTGTTACTTTCTTGGCAAAAGTTAACAGGGAGCCACTCAGCCTCAGAAAGACAAGTCCTCCATTTACCTCAGCAAGAACTAGACAAGCACAAGGAACTCCAAGTTTTCCCAACTCAATGGCTTTGGTCTGACCTGGAGTGGGCAATGCCTGTTGTCCCAAGTGGGTCAATCTGAATATCAAACCCACCAACTGCTACTGGTTTTCACATTTATTCAGTAACAATTCCAATCCCAAAGGCTATACAGTCACTAAGCGGCAACTGGCACTTTCTGGCTCAATCCTCAAAACACATGAGCAACATGCAGAAAGTCATAATCAAACACTCTTCATTCTACCACCAAACCTAAAGAAGTCACATTTCACCACCCATTATTTAAGAACATGTGTAATTATGCAAAACATTCCAAGCCAAAAGCTGTACAGTCACTGAATGGCAACAGGTTCTATGTGACAAAATCCAGAAAACACAGTCTCCATGAGGAACCTATGGGGGCCATCCTGGAACACCCTTTATTCTGCCACAAAACCAGGAGCAATGATGTTTTTAACACTCATTCTCGAATTAACTATGCTTAACATGCCAACTTAGAATTATTATAATGGAGTCTACATAACAACTGACGCCCACGGCAACAGAAGACAATGAAGAGGGAAAATTTACTGTCCTCGGTCATTGACCAAACCCTGGTCTTCCTCCAGAAAGTGTGTAAGTTTCTGGCACTGGACAGACAATAACATGGCATGTTCAAGGAGAGAAGAAATGCAAGAGCAACTTACTTAACAGTTGGCAATAGAGGGCCTGTAAACTCCTCTTCATGGTATCATCTGGTCCTGCTTGTCCTCCAGTTTATTCATGATTCTGTCTAGGAAATCGGGAGAAGAAAACTGTTACATCTGAGGAACGTAATTCCAGTCAATAATCAGAAAGAGCTCCACTCAACAGGATCCTAGTTGTGAAGTCTAAAATACCTGACTCTGAAGAGAAAAATTCCTGGAATGGATACACTACAATTTAATTTACAATAGTCTATGTTATAAAACTACCAATTAATCAATTGGTCAAATCCTGAAAGTATGCACACCACTGAAGGAAACTCAGAGGGGCAAGTGGAGAGTGAGAATCTGGCTTTGGAACTTTTGAGGACTTCCATTTTATCTCCCCTGTATCTCTAGTCTTGAAACAGGAGAGAAATTTCTACACTCATTTTCACCAAGAAGCTTACCAAATGAAACCACCCAAAAAGCTACACCACACTTGACATTGTATTATATTAAATAACTTTTCTATTATTTTCTGATCATAAACGATACCTCCAGTATAGAATATTTGGAAAATACAGATCAACAGAAAATATAGATAAGAATATGCAAGAAAATCCAAATTACCTCTCTCTCCAGCCTTTCAAGTGTGCACTTCTATTGCTCTGTCTCATTTAATGGATTATACATTCTAATTTTTTTCCCTAGCAGCACAAACATCTTCCTGTATTGTTACTGTTACTTTACTACTATATTTTAAATGGAGCACAGTATTTAAATTACTAGAAATGAAATCACAAAAACACAATTCAAGGTTTGGGGGATCAGAATTTGCTACCCCAAAATGTGTCTCTTTGCCTTGCCTTGATTATTTTTAAGAACAAAAAGACTCTGAAAGAAACTTTGACCTTCCCTCTAACTGCCTAAAAGAAATTTAAAACAAAGGCCTGTCCCGAGGACAGGCCATCACCACAGATAACTCTGGGTATCAGGTAGACTGGGAAGATCCTTGCTAAGCCCACTCTTATCAAAGTTCTGTTTACCAAACATTTGCTTTTCCATTCCATCAGTGTTGCCTTCCTCCCCTGTGAAGCCCCAAACACCCGCCCCCAACATCCTCCTGTGTCTTTAGCTGAAGACGGTATTTAAGATGAGAGCCTCGGCCATTTTGGCGAGTTGCTCAGTTTTCCTGGGTCTCTCCCATGTATGCATGTTATAAAACTTTGTTTAATTTTCTCCTTTTCTTCTGTCCTATGTCAATTTAATTCACAGCCTGGCCAGAAGGACTTAGAGTGGATAGAGGAAATCTCTTCTTCCCCTACAAAGGCTTCTGAAATATATTGCCAAATTGCCCTTCATCAATACCAGGATATGAGGCTATCCATTAGACTACAACCTACCCAATGAAATTTATCACTTCTTTCCATTTTTGCCAAGTAAGTAGGCAAATATTCCATCTCATTGCTTTAATTTGCATTTCATACGTTTATTAGTCATTTGTCTTTTAAAAATTTTTAATTCACATTTGACAAAGATTCTTTAGTCAGGTGCCTGAACCTTCTCCTAGGCCCATCCATGCTCTTCCTTGTAAAACCTAGTTTTAGCAGGAACCGTGCTAAGTCTGTTTAACCAGAACCCCTCACTCTCAACATCTAATCACCCTCACTATCAGATCAGGCCCCTCATCCTCTACCATCCCCCAGGTGATGATGACCCTGGCCTGTCTTCAGCAAGAATCCTGTTAGGTCAGCTTAGCCCTGATATTTCCTCTTAGTAATTTTACATCCAATGACCTCCAGCTCCTTGGCTATAAATCCTTACTCGCCCATGCTGTATTACAATTTGAGCCCAATCTCTTTTCCTCACTGTAAAATCCCATTGCAATGGGCCCTATACCTATATTGATGGTCCTGAATAAAATTTACCTTACCATCTTTAACAAGTGTCATTGAATATTTTTGTTTTTAACCATTATTTACTGGCATGGCTGGGTTTTTTTTTCTCAGGATACCCCAAGTGAAATTGACTTATCTTAAAAATTTTTTTAATTGAGACATAATTCACATATCATAAAATTCAGCCTTCAAAGTATACAACTCAGTGGTTGTCAGCATATTCAAAAGTTGTGAAATCATCACCAGTACCTAACTCCAGAATATTTTCATCACTCTAAAAAGAAACTCCCATGTTCATTAGCAGTCAATTCCCATCCTCCCTTGCCCTAGCCCCTGGAAACTACTAATATACTATGGATTTGCCTAATTCTGTATATTTCACATAAATAGAATCATACAACATATGGCCTTTTGTGTCTAGCTCTTTCACTTAGCATACTGTTTTTAAGGTCCAAGCATGCTTTTTTCCTTATTTTTTGGTAAGAATGTATACACAAACACACATTTCCATGATTAGAAAGGCCTTCCTTAGTCTGGGATGACACAGTTGCCTGTCTTTTCTTCTGGTGTGGCTGACTTCCTTTAGATCTGTTTAAGGACTTTGTATTACATTTTACTTTTCTGTTCACTCATTCTTCCACTATAACAGCAAGTGTTGTTTAAATTAAACTCTTGGTAGAATTAGTGCTCCATTATTACTCTTCTTTTTTAAGATCTGTCTTCTTGTTCTTTGAGCTTGTTTTTCCCCCCAAATTAACTTTAAGATCACTTTATTAAATTCCAGAAAAAACACCATTGGGATTATAGTTGGAATTACCTTCTACTTGCTTTATTAATTTGGGAGAGAGTTGATCTCTTTAAAATCCAAGTTTAGTGAAGCAAAAACTAAATGATATTTTAAAGACTGTAGCTCTGGCAATAAGAATTCCCTTTAGAGGGTGAGAAGGTCCTTCGGGGGGGGGGCACAACAGCTCAATGACTTCTTTGTTTAGGCAGATTAAAGCCCCCCTAAGTGCAGTCTGGATGAGTAAGAATGAGAGAAAGAGAGAGTTGAGTTGCTCTCCATTATAAAATGACAGGAGGTTTGAATTCCCAAAGTCTAGGAAAGCGGGGTTAAGTGGTTCAGAAATCAGAGAGGCTAAGGAGATGATAAACAAGAGATGTTGAGAGACAGACAGAGGCAATTCCAAAGGACAGCAGCAGGTAGGAGCTAAGAATAAAGGATAAAGTGAGAAATTTCCCACAGAGGATGACCCATGACCTTTAAGACATGTAGTATTTAATATTTCATTGCTTCCTGTTTTATGCTATTTGTACTCACACATTACATCTGTCCTCCTTCTCTCCCACAATGCTTATCCACCTTGAGTATCCTCAAAACCTCAGCAAAAGTCTTGTACAAAATATCTTTGTTTTGGTGGGGCTCAGCAGGGCGATGAAAGAGAATAGACTATGTCCCAAGACAAGGTGACCAGAAACAGAAGTAGAAGCCACAGGAGCCATAAGCAATGGTTAGAGGGCAGCTATGGGCTGCTGAGGACATGGGAAGTACTTGTTGACACAAATAATCCATAACCAATCTGTACGTCAAAATTGAGGTGAGTTTATTATGAGCCAACCATAAGGACCATATAGCCCTGGAGAGTCCTTTTGCAAAGGAATGGAGCACTCCAATGAAGTGGGTGTGTACAGAGTGGTCATATACTGTCAAAGAGTGTACATCACATATGATTGGAATGTCCCTTTTACAATAGTCACGGGATTATTTGCCAGCACAGCAATTCAGTGAACACAGCGGGTCAGTGGTCACAAGGTGGGTGGTCACAAGGTGAGCACAGCAGGTCAGCAACCAATCCTTAGTTTAGGGAGAGATGCTTATCCTTAAGGAAACAGTGATGTGGGGGAAGTTACATCCTTATCTTTAAGGGTATTGCTCTTGTCTTTGGGACATAGCAAATACTTAAAGCAGATATACAATGCATGTTCAACGGCCATGTCAAACCCTCTTGGAAAAACAAGTTCAGGTGGAATTAGTTTTAAACCAAATGGCTTCCTCATATACTCCAATATATCCTATTGCTTGCCATTTATTTATCATACTCAATAAATGCATAGTGAATAAAACAAATGAATGAAAGAATAAATAAATGATCAAGTAACAGGAGAGCAGAAAAACAGCTGTAGCTTATATTGATCTAGGGGAACATATGCCACTCAATCATCTCTGGAAATGCTTAGAAATTTTCAAGAAACTGTTAGACTTCTATAAGCCATGGAACAGAGCCATTTTATTCTTATATTAAGAAACAACTGAGCCCAAAGGCCTGGGACACTTGGGATCATCTGGGTTACACAGAGCTATCCCAACTATAAGTACCATATGGCCTAGTATTTATTCAAAATTAATCTTTATTTAGGTCTTTCTGTGGAGTTTTGTAGTGTTTTTCCTTCATTTAAGTACTACAGCCTTGTCGAGTTAATTCTGGCATTCTGTATTTTTTTGCCACTGTGATGGAATTTATGTTTCCACTATATTTTCTAATTGCTCTATGAAAATGACTGAGTTTTGTATATTCATTTTGTGACCTAACGGAACTCACTCACTGTTCAAATGATGGCTTTTTGTTGAGTCTCTTGGGTCAATGGTGCTGCTTTGGATAGACGGAGAGCCACAATGAGACTCCATCAAGAGCCTCTTTTCAATTGTACAGTAGGAAACACTAATTGTATCTGGTCTCTCAGGGAATAATTTAGGAGCTCCAAGGATGACAACTAATTTCTAGGATGAAATCCTAAGAAAGTACAGAGTTCTTCAGTCAAAAGGCTGAATAGAAGAAAAACGAGAGAAGAGGAGGATGAAAACATTTGACCAAACATGCAGAGACAGCAACATAGGTGAGGACATTACTGATTATTAGCGCAGGGGGAGCCAGGGGGTGCATGTGGCCTGAACCACTCCTTAACGAGAGCCAGCCTAATAGAATCCTGCCTCTCCTTGTGGCTTAAATGGGACAATCCATTCCACTGACTCAGGAGGGAAATTTCTGTTTCACAGACCACTTAAGATGTTTCAATTAGAAATGTCCATGGATCAGAGAAAAAGTAATACACAGTCAAACGAAAACCTCTGATAGTTGATATGGAAATTGACTTGAAATGACAAGTTCATAGAGAACAAATAAGGAAGAATAGCCAGGAAAATCCTGGAA